AATTAATTGAACTATTAAGCTCAGGCTTCTTCCAGGCGAAAAGGTTGATTTATCACAGTTCCGTGGTATCGAACTTGGACTTATACAGAGGGATGCTCCGAATTTATTACGTAGACCTGAAGGTACTCGAGGTCCTTTACTGAGCCCAGTTGTTCTCAAGGAGGATCAGCGCAATCCGCATAACGGTTCAATGCAATTTGTTAACGTTTGAAATCGAACATTTTGATCATTAAACCCCGACGCACAAATATCCTTGTTTACTTGATTGATATTCGTTTCACTGCTGACAATGAGCATATTCGCAATTATTATAATACTTGAATGCACCCATTCGATCGCTATCGTTCGTTCGCCTTTTAGACTATCGCTATCTGAACATTGCTTACGATTAGATAAAAATAAACTCTTCACGGCTTCTGCTCTATTAATTATAATAAAGTTTTGCAATGACCTGGTTCATCAATTCCACCAGTCGTAAGTCTTTCATTGTTTGAAAAGCTTTTTTTAACGAAAAAATTCATTTTCAGCAGTAGACGAGCTCTCTGAACTTGTTTCAACACTTCTTCGCAAGAGAGTTAGTTTTTCTCCAGCCGAACTGGAATTTCAATTGCACAGCTGAATCTATTTATCCGGTTTTAAGTCGTTATTGCACCGTTTAATGCAATTTCCGTCGAAGTTCAATGAGATGGATTTCTCATATTCGTTTCCAAGATCCGTTGTTTTGTATTCAGGATTCTGAAACCGATCGGCAAAGTGATTCGTCGCGGGGTCAAAATGAACGCGATAAGGAAGAATTGCGCGTTGCGATGCTGAAATGCATAACAAAATCGAAATATGATGATGTCGATGATTATTTACAGTGGTTGAACGATTGCAGTTCGGTAAAATGTTCAGACGTTCAANGAATTCAACGAAATAATTTCAGACGGCATCGAAATTACGAACTAATCGTGATATGTGGAGTGAACATTTGTCGGATGTTGATGAATTGGAACGAGTTGGTTCAAAATCTGAAGATTGCATACGTAAAGAACATCAGCAGTGTGATACTGCTGATCAACTGAAAGAATCTTTGCATGATATGAAAAAATTTCGCAGAGCTGAGAGTGAAACAAGGTGAACTTTGATATAAACAATTCGAATTAAACTGCTCAAATATGCAGTTTACATCTTCACAGCCTTTGCCTTCGTTCCTTTGGACCTTTTATTGCAGAAAGTCTTTTACTGCCAAGGTTCTTTCATCAGAGGATGCGTCTCACCTACCAGTACAGTTGGATGCAAAATCGGTTGCAAATAAATTTGTAGGCAAGCCTCGTGTAGTATTATTGTACATCTTTGTTGACTGATGCGGCGAAGATATCAAAGATGAAGGTATAAAGAGAAAGAGATATGATAGGTGATATTCGCATGATGAGAGTATAACTGATCCTTTAACGACTACCCCAAAATGACGATGAAATTAAAAGTGATGATAAAGTTAAGCAGCAAATTTTGGTTCCCGACTGGAACCGTGAAAAAAACCAATTTTCAATACCCGTTGTGAGAAACGCAGTGAAGTCGATTTTCGATGACACCGAACAAGGTCGAACGAGAATCATCTTGTTCGGTGAAATTATTGAAAAAAAATGTTTCGATTCCCAACTTTCCTTATCTGTGAGGTTGAATGCTCATCTTAGAATGAAGAAAGCATTATATCGGATAATTTGAAACTGAATTTTTGTAGAGTACCAACCGATCCGAGCAGTAACAGTGAAGAGCTAACGAAAATACAGCGCTCTTCTCCGAAACAACGAACCACTAGACACAGGTGAAATATCAGTGCTGTTTCGTATCTNAGCTTGCAATCCAGAATATTCTTGCAATCCAGAATATTTTCTATTCTTATATGCTTTTGGTCCGTATATGCTTCTGTCACGGATTTTCTTCAGTGAACATTATCATATGAAGCCACAATTGTGCCATTGATGTTTTTTACCTGTTCAATAGCAGTCGATGAAGACGATGATGCATTTCAGTCATATATGTATAGTTTGCATTTGAGTTGAACAGCTTGAGTTACAGGGCAATGTCTGTTGGCTGCAATAAGATGAATGGTTTTGTGTCAGCAAGACAGAACGGAAACACGAAGAAAGCAGCACCGAGGAGATCGCTAGCAAATCTTTCATCGATGCGAGCCAATAGCAACAAATCACCACGGAGAAACCTCATTTGAAAATGATCGGGTGATTGTTGATGAGTTGGACAATGATTATGATAGTTAATATTGTTTGTTTAAGATTAAGTATCTAAGTTTGACAAAAAGAAACTAATCGTTTCGTATTGTTGCAGGTTGCATTCAAAATGGAATCATTCAATTTTTTCCAAGAAATTGAGTGGGTTCATTACAGGAATTCGAATCACATTGCTTGTTCAGTTCGGTGTTTTTTGCAAAATTATAAACAGAAAACAATAATGACACTTATAGAGGTGCAGTTATATAAGAATAGCATTATTAAGATCTGGAATCATTTTTCAATTAGCTTCAGTTGTAAATTCGTTGATTTGTGTGGTGTTGAATGCGCAATGTTCAAATCGTCTTCATTTTTATCTTGTGATCGATTGCAGCTGATGTGGTGATTCTTTTAAATTTAAAGAGTGTTTTTGATATTTGAATGTTTCAAAGTTGCTATTTTTCAGCAAATTTCTCGAGAATTTCGTTGCTTTCTATCGGATCTCTCTTTTGGAAGCTGAAGCAAAGCATTCAGATTTGAATTTCTTTCATTCGATATCATTTATATGATCATTCAATGCTAATTGTAAGCACAAATCGAGGCCTATTTCTGCCCAAATGCGAACATACTCAACGAAATGCAATCGCTAATCAAAAGTGATCGCTTGAATTAAACATTTTTTTGCCTGTTAAGAAAACGTATTTGTCCAGTGATATAGTACAACTATTGTACGTTTTGATAATCGTGTTTTTTGCATAAGTTTAACGGATGGCATAAATATTTTTAAAATATACGTGTTCGTATGTGTGTGTTTGCATTATTGCAAAACTTCATAAAATAAAAACCAGTAAATGTGGTTGTTGAATAGGTGGTATCTTGTTAGAGGTGTTTAGGCTTCTTGTTAATCAATCAGTGTCTTAACTGGAACTTTAAAAGGTGAACTTATTCACTATATAGAAGAATTTTCTAAATGTAGTGAACGTTCGATTACCCAAGGAATTTAACAACAAACTCTGCAAACTGCAAAAAATGAGTGAGAAATAAAGACAACTCATTGATTAATATAGTGTGTAGGCGGCGGTAATAAAAATTCGATAATATGCAGTTGACGATATGCAGTTATAAAAATAAAAATATGATAATATACAATTAGAAAAAAAGGCAGTGTTTATGACGCAAATGATGCACACTACGGATGGCGCTTGCGAGACAATCTGATTTCAGCTTCATTCCTGAGAGTTAGCCTTATGGCGAACCGTACTTACATCGAAGAATGTCAAATTTTTTTTGTTTCAATTGGTTTGAACGAAAGTCTTCCTCAGCGAAGCTGTTCCAAGATAACAGCACCGACATAACAGCCGTTTAAGTCGGCAGTGTAATAATAAATAATTTTACCGCAGCGGTATTCATAAACATTGTTTTTTCTATGTTTTCTAACAATTCAGAATAAAGCTTTGAACTTGTATGAGACTCTTAAAAGCTTGCTATAATTATGCTGCCTATACGTTACTAAAATACTGGCGAAAACGTCAAATTTTATGCAGAGGAAACATGGTTTACAAGCACGTCTGACCGAATTTTTTCATCTTCTGCCATGTTCTCATGCAAAACAGATAGATGTGCGAGACGTTACGAGATAGGATTTTGATCTTTTCATGGCATTTTTTGTGTTATTGAACAGCACATATCAAGTACTTCAATGACTTTTAAGTTTCGATTACCCAACTGCTGCTATTCTACTCTAATTGGAGAAAACTATATTCGAGTCGTGCACAGTGGTATTGATGAGGTCGTTTGCAATGAATTCTACTGGAAGCGGTTAGCAAGTGGGTTACGTCGGAAGGGTCCTGGTGACATGTTTTCATGGAGAATATTCAGTAATACTAGACACAAGAAACAACCTCCCAAAACACTGTCATCAAAACTCTTAAAGTAGAGGAATCTGATTCAAAGTAAATATCCTGTCCTCATTTCTGTGTCACGTTCTGAACTCTAGAAACGGTCTATTAATGAAACTGCTTAATTCATTAATTCACTTACTAACGTTATCGATGTTAGGAAGTGAATCAATGAAACTGGAATGGGCTGATTCATTTTGTAGTAATTTCTACCAACAGTTAAATTCACGACCCATGATAAAACTCTCGATCCCAGCGGTCGCCACAAGCTGGTGATTACCTACATTTCGACATTGTTTCATGTCATGGGTTTATGATTCAATTCCTGCTGATGGCATTATTGTTGATGCGTTGGACCAGTCGGTAACGATGACTACTAAATCCGTTGTAACTTTCCGGTTTCCTTGATCATTATATATCGTTGATACAGCGCGATGAGCGAATACCTAAAAACTGTTCCAAAAACATCTTTTTCAAGATATGATGCGCTGAAATATGTAATTCATCCTTCTTATGCAAACCTTTCAGTTTTGTCATCATTCGTTCATTCTGCTTGAAATCCAATAAAATGTATCCATCTCTATCATTGAGTTTTTTTTTAACCCGATGCAGATTCAATGCAGATCTCATTCAAGTGGAATCGCTGAAGTTGCATCACTACTCGCTTTCGTTTTACCCAATAACTGTTTTGTCCCTACAATTCAAACAAGTGTTTGGCAATAAATTGGAAGCCTCGATTGATGGATTCAGCAAAATAATTATTCAGCTACAAACGAAATGAGTTAATTTTGTGAAAGTTACTGGATGTGGATGCTATGTGCAATGAATCAACCCGTTCAAAATATTTCCACTTTCACAGAAATATTCAAGAAAGCACATTGCGGATGCAATGATGTACATTAGGAGCACCTTATTTTAACTGGCAATTCTCTGACAAAGTCCACCAACAGCAGTGGGTACAATAATTGCAAACCTAAGTGTTAAAACCCGATCCAATCAGATTTCTATTCATTACGAAAATATTTCACTGAACATACTTCTTTCTGCGAAATTTCTGCACGTTCACACGTAACATCCGTGATTCGATGATGATGTTAAATTCGACTGGTCTTTCTCATGAAACGTTCATGTCTCAATATTACGGCATTACATTGCGACAATTAAGTGTAACTGTTTGATAGCAATAGGTGCCATATGATGCATTGCCATAGCTACGATATTAATCTACCTCAATTGAAATAGATTGGTCAACAAACAAATAATGAGATTAATAGATTTGCAGTTGACTATTAGATCAATCCAGAATAATAATATTCAGTTGGTAAACTCGTTCATGTACCTTCTCAAATCTCGTCAGCAATAGTCCTTGAGAGATAATTGCACACTTGCACGGTCTATTCAGCATAATTTCGCTCGTTCCCGTGAAACTTTTTTTCCCAACAAACAACCAGAATAAGTCTTTCGTGCATCATTTAACGGATGCTGACTTAACGGATGCATTTAACGAAGCATTCAAACGTTAAAAACTCAACAAGAAGAGCCCAATTAAAGATAATTATGCAAAATCGAGAACTCAGAAAGTTTGTCGCATTCAATGTGTAAAAATTCTCATTCTGCCAGAAAACGATAGTCAAATTAAAATTGAATGTATACTCGAATTCTTATGAAGACACTGATATGTCTGCATGAATTAGTAATTGAATGTCTTTCATTATCGAACAGCGCATGAACGATAATCGTCAAAGCACTGCGAGCATGACAGGTGCGATATCGATAATGAAGCTTCAACACTTGAAGGTCACTAAGTTTTGCGTGATGATCGATATATTTTCCTATACGACTGTTCATGTAACGTCTAATTACGAATGGTATGAGAAATCATGAAGGTATCCAATTACACTGCATCATTTTACAATTACAAATCGCAAATGAAAAAGAAACGTTTTATATGAAAGCGTAGATTGAAGGAAATCGCATAAGATGAACATCAAAAACTTGTTTGTGAAAAGCATTGCTCGTTGATAAGAATGTTTCTTATTCATCGATATTCAACTGGAATGACAACATACCGCTAATTCAATGAAAGCTTCATCGAATGACCACCCTAAAACTTGTCTCTTGCTGATCATTCTTTTTAAAAGTGATTCTTCAATCGCGTTCTGTTAGTGATCAGTTCTCTTTTGAAAGTGGATGTTCTAATGTTCATTGCTCAAGTATTCGATGATCACTTTGTTTGGTCGCCTTCATATGTGGAATTATTGCCTGATTATTAATGNTTTTCTTCAGAAAACAACCCATCGAAAGTTCCGACCCTAGATTGAAGGAAGTGGAAGATTGAAGAAATTGAACATCCTAAATTACAACGGATTTTCACAGGGATCTCCACTAGATTCGGTGCTTCAACTCGAGAGGAATCAAGCCAAATTTTCAAGAAAATGAAAAATTCCAACCAATTTGCATTCGTTTGCGATCGGCTTCATTCCTAGTGGAAAATCAGTAATCGTTCGAGTGTTCAAACCAAAGGCTATTTCAGGATGATGTTAAGGCCGCTTCTGCTGTTTGTTTTCACTGCCTCTGTTAATGCATTAACCTGTAATTTCTTGGCTAAGAATCAAGCTGGTTTCTTTGTGGAGGTATTGTTCACATTACGTTGTCATTGATGTGCATATTAGCTATGACAGGCACTAAAATATCAACATTTTTTCATGCCATTTCAGACGAAATTCGCACGAATTGTTGAAAGAAATAGCAAAATACAACAATATAGTATCTTTCAAGATGAGAAATCTTATGCACTGCTGTTTATTACTACTTTCAGGCGTTTGGACCTTGTGCACGTGGAACATCGTACTGCGCATCAAGGGTAGTTACAACATCCGGATGGGAAGCACCTGTTTTTGAATTATTCGAATGGTACTGTGAGAATATACATAATGTTAGTTTCTGACTGCATTGCATTTGTTTTCAAATGAATGACTGTACTGAAATGCGCTCGAAGGAGAAAACAGGCGATAGTCAACATTAGGGCTTGCACGAGAAAGGCTTAATCATTTCCAGCCATTCATACGCAGTCATCTTTGTTGTTTGCCACCTATCATTGATAAACGGTCTAGGAAATAGATGCAGGTCAGACTAATGACATGTTACACGACAGCTTGATGAACTTATGCGTAACATTTAATTGAACATTCAACTGATTATTCGGCTCTTCATTAGTTTATATCACGCTCATCTCGATGCATTTCTATGCAGACTAATGGAAACAATCACATTTTCTAATGAGAACGAAGACAAACAAAATTCAACAAAATTTTGGGTTCATGAATCCGTTTGTTAATTCCTTCTCACGATTAAGAATATTTCGTGAGCTGCACAGTGACATGTAATATGTCGTTTCCTTCCATGAGATTTGTTCGGCTTCAATATTCCGTCTGTTAATCGAACTTCTAAAGACTGCAAGTCTCTTTACTTCGCTATTTGGAACATTTTCGTTTGATCGAAATGTCCATAAATTCTCATCGAGATCACTCATTGTGAGAATTCATTGTTGAAGTGAGCGAAATTGTTCCATTCAAAATGATCTTAAGCTTGAATGTCAAGTACATTTGCATGATTTCTGATCGAAATTATTAAGTATGTAAGTGCTTGGTGGTTAGATGAAAATCCATTGCGGATGTTTTTTCTAGCTTTTTCATAGACTCTGAACATTTAGTCTTTTTTGAATTCAAATGATTTGATTCATACGATGCATTTCTTTCGGAAGAATCGAAATTTCCGAAGTGCCAGAATTCAGCTGATGTTAATAACACTGAGAGAAAATGAACTTGAAGCATCGCAAATAGGTGTTTGAGAATCAAGAATTTCACATTCACATGCAAGTGTACTGTTATTAGCTTAGACCCGAGATGACAATATGCCTGTGCACAGAAAGTGCAGTATACTTGCGGCATGATCATTAGTATCGTTATATGAACCAATCAATTCGAATTTGAATAATTTGTTCTCATGTATTTGTTCAATAATTTGTTGATTTTAACTCCTTTCTGATTAGTTGTGAACATATTGGTTTAAAAAAGTGTTTTTAAACATGTCACGCATCGATATTTCAAAAGTTGCTCGATCCCGGGATAATCCCAGGATCGAAAATCGACCCCGGGATTGAAAAAAACGTCGGGATTTTGCAAAGCCTACTCAACATATGACGAATTATCGAAATGCTATTTGCATCAAACTTGAAGGTGACGTCGTATCTGAAGGTGTCAGTGCCACCGAATCAAGGATGCTTCACGTATGCACGTGATGAGCATTTGTGTTTTTGCAACACAGATCTGTGCAATACACGACCATTTATCGCGTCGATTTTCAACGGCTACCGAGAAGCCGTGCGAAGAGGGAATGAAGCCAAACGAACTGAATTAATTGGGTAATCAGTGAGAAATTTCTGCTATCAAACATCTAATCCCATTGAAAGTGCACCGGTTTATTGTTATTTTTCTTGATATAATCAGAAGAAAATGACGATTTGTCGCTGTAAATTCCGTGGA